CAGTGCAGCGAGATGTCATAAAAAGTAAATTTCGAGCAATTGAAAAGAAGAAAAAACCATTACTTAGTAAAAAAAATATCAAAGCAAGATTAAACTTTGTAAAAAAATATGAAAACTTTACCAAAGATGATTGGAAGAAAGTTATTTGGTCAGATGAAACTAAAATTAATCGGTATAGCACAGATGGCCGCCAATGGAGCTGGAAAAGAGAAAGTGAACCATTAACCCAAAAAGATTTTATTCAGACAGTAAAACATGGGGGAGGCAATATTAAACTATGGGGGTGTATGACGGCTTATGGATTGGGACCTATTCGAAGAATAGTTGGAAACATGAATAAGGAAATGTATCTTGATATTTTACAGCATGAATCATTGGAAACTGTTGAAAATATGCCTTACCCAATAAATGAGGTCATCTTTCAACAGGACAATGACCCAAAGCACACTGCTAAAATGGTTAAGAATTGGTTAGCTTCGCAAGACTTTCAAGTGCTAGAATGGCCAGCACAAAGTCCTGATTTGAACCCAATAGAAAATTTGTGGTCACAATTAAAAAAAGCGCTCGTTAATAACTATTCTGACCCTCCATCATCCATTAATGTGTTATATGAACGAGTTCAAGAACAGTGGAAAAATATTTCGTTAAATCTTTGCGAAAATCTTGTAAAGAGCATAAATAGAAGATTAGCAGCAGTTAAAAAAGCTAAAGGATTATGGACAAAATATTAAAAATTGACAAAATTGACAAAAATTGACAGTTTTTTTATCGTGGTGCAAAAGTGATTCACCATGTTTTTCATTTATTATTTTGTAAGTAAATATTTTTCTTCCATAAATACTTAATAAAAATTGTTTTTTTAATAATAGTTCCTACCAGCAATATTAATTCTCAAAATGCTTAATTCTTTATAAGAAAATAAAAATATTATGCCTTCTGGTTCAGTTTTGCACCATACTGTATATATATATATATATATATATATATATATATATATATATATATATATATATATATATATATATATATATATATATATATATATATATATATATATATATATATATATATATATATATATATATATATATATATATACATAGTATGAAAGTTATAGTAGAAAGTTATAGTATGAAAGTTATAATAGAAAGTTAAACCAATAAGATAGTGGCTAGCTTTTTCTTCTACAGGTATAAAACCTTGAGTAATTTCAGTCATTTTGTGATATGGTAAATAAAACCTGAAGCGCCAACAAAAGTCCGCTAATTTTAATATAAACACACAATTCATTGGTTGTTAAAAAATCATAACGTCATTTGATTCATTGTGGACTTAGTAAGTTTTGAAGCTGTAAACCTGTTTGACTTAGCATGTTTTGAAAATGTTTAGATATTTTCCTTGAATATTTTTAGGACTTAGAGTCTTTATTTTGATTTAATATTTAAATAGATAAAATGGAGATTTGAAATTAACTCAATTTTATTATTAAAGAGACTGTCTTTGAGCAAAACCTCTTTAACAAGTAGACAACTTGAAAAATATCAATTTAAATGTTTAGCATATAGAAGTGCCACAAACCTTGATTTACACTTCAAATTCAAAAACATTTTTTTTATCAATTTGCATCCAACAAATCTGCAAGTAACCACTACATACGTTGGGACCATAAAACAAAAAAAATTTCAAAGAGAAAGAAAACGGTTGACAGAAGACTTAAAAAACTGATTTTTCTAAAAGTCAGGAAAAAATAGGGTAAGGTAGGAGAGAATTCGAAAGCATTGATGCCCAAGGAAAGAATCTAGATAAATAAAAAGGAAAAAAAGTTTTTAAAACACGAGGAAAAGTTTTTAAAACATGAAGAAATGAGTTTCAGTTTAAGCAGCATCTTTACTTCTGAAGAAAAAAAAGTAAGAATTACAACTGTGTTGAATGGTTGAGTTGTGGTTGTTAAGTGAGTTATGGTTGAAATAACTGGAGTAATTTGTTTGACCATAATAGTATTTGTAGAAAAGAGATGCAACACTACAAAATCAACAGCAACTGGGGAGTTTTTTAAAATCAACAGCAACTGGGGAGTTTTTATTTAAATACTATAGATATTAAATAAATTATTCAAAAAAATCCTATCCCATTAAACTTAATCAGTTAAACCATAAAACAACATAATCTTTTGTTAAATTTCTTGGTAATTATTTTTTTTAAATATAACTATGGTAACTATAAAGCAAAACAACAATTAACATCGAATTCCAAATAACTGATGTTCAAAGCAAAAAAAATTGACAAAAATTTTTTTTGAAATACTTATAAATAGAAATAAAAAAGATGAGAATCTGGAGTAATAAAATGGCAAGTAAAATAAAGAGATTCAACCTTAGCAGATGCTAAATTTAGTAGAATAAAAAATTTGGCTTAAAAAAAATTAGCTTAAAAAAATTGAGTCAATGTTCAACAGCCACTGAGCGCTCCATGATGTAGCAGAAGCAAGATCATTTTCAAGCTTATATTGAACAATAAGCTTATAGTGAACAACACCACCTTAGATGTGAGAATTTCGGGGAGATAATTAATGTAAATTAAAAAAAGTATAGGGCCAACAATAAATGAATCACTCTTCTACATTTACTGTACAGGAAAATGTAGAAGAGTGATTCAAGATGAGAGATTAAGTGTTTGAACATAAAAGACTCAAAAGCCTTGCTTATAATAGGACAGTAGTTAGACAAATCAGGGCGTTCTCTAGAAATTTAAAAATAGGGACAACAAATGTTGGCTTGAAAACAAGACTGATAAGCACTTGTTAAACAGTTTTAAAAGTGTTAAAAAAAACTCCGGAGAACAGTTTTGCCAGACAATAACAGGTATGTTGTCCAGACCACAAATTGTAGAAAAGTCTAAACAGGAAATCACTTTAGATACAGAAGCTAAAGGGATACGAACGTCAAACAATGGATTACCCTGTTAGTCAGCTATATGTGATTAGAGGAAACAAGAAATGAGATTGGTGAAAAGTATTAAGCAAACAGCTAAGCATTGTCTTAAAGAGAGATAACAAGTTCAAAAAACAAAAAAACTGCTTTTTTGTTGAAAAATAACTTTTTTTTTTGGCAACTACATGGCTGTTAATATCTTTTGAAAATTTTAACATTTCAAAAAAACTGAAAAAGCGCTGAAAAAACTAATCTAGATTTAACAAATAAAAAACATCTGAATTTAAACTAAGAAAAGAAATCTTAACAATATATTGTCAAGATTTAATTTTAGTTTTTTAAGTTATTTTAATTTTTGTGTTTTTTTATTTACTCTATTAATAGAGTAAATAAAAAAACACAAAAATTAAAATAACTTAAAAAACTAAAATTTTAATATTATTTAATTTAAATATTTTTTATCATGAATTTTTTTTATCACTTTCATCTTAATCTAAGTATTTTATAACAGTTTATTATAAACTAAGAACCTTAGAATGTTTTTATATTTGAAGCATGTTTATATTGCATCAAATTATTTAAATACAATCTTTTATGGTTAAACTAAAAAAATAAAATATATTTATGAAGAGGAAGCAAAACTGCTTTATAATACCGCTGAAGAAGTTTAGAGAGTAGGCTTTTTTTATATATTTGTATGTTTGTGTATTTTATATATGTGGTCTTTTTTATATATTTATTTAATTATTTGTAACTTTGATGATTATTATTTTTTAAATTTAATTGAAAATGCAGTTGTTGAAGGTCTTATTTTTAGAAAATCAATCGTACAAATATTTTCCATAGATTTACATTAAAATAATAAAAAATTAATCTATATTTTTATATATATAACTAGTTATATAATTATTTTTATTATTATTATTTTTTCATTGCCATTAAGTAAAGTTTCTAAGAAAATCTAATTAATGTAACATTTGATATATGAATATAACAAAATTGTGTTATTCAAACAGTATTAGTGGAGAATATTTAAAATATTGATATAATACACACAATGATAGGGACTTAAATAAGCTACTGATACATAAAACAAAATTAATGATCAGTAACAATGATAGAACAAGTAACCAAACTAAGCTAACTTGTTTATGAATGGACATAATTTGTTGCACATAAAGAACCAAACATTTTTATTTTGCTTTTAATCCAGTAAATTTTTCATTCTATTTAAATTTTTTCTCAAAAATTTACTTTTAAAAGTTAAAAACAGTTAGTTTAACAATGTAAAAAATTTCTCATGTTTTCTATTACAACTTTCTATTACACTCCAGTACAACTTCTTTCCCAATTAGAACCAATTAGTTTCACAGCTTGCTTAAGCTCTGCATCTAAATTTTTCTTTTACTTTTTGCTCCAGTTAATTTGTTGAACAAATTAGTCTCAAATAAAGTAGTCTAAAGAGTCAGGAGAATTTGTTGAGCAATGATTTTTGTAAATAAATCTAAAAAACGATTGTTACACTATTTTGGAGAAAGTTTGTGAGTATGAGGTTTGGTAACCACTTTACTGAAACATCTAATCATCTCTAAATAGGTTATTTTCTGCAGTCTAAAACTTTGTCTATATATTATGATGATTTACTGTACCATTATTTAATACAACCAAAAACGTTACGCCTTCTGAACAAACTTCCAACCATAATTTATTACCAAACTTTTTAACAGCATCAACTTGATTTGGAGACTTGATTCTTTTGACAGTTATATATTTTATTGAGAACATTTTCTTGTCGGAAAAAAGAATTCTCAAAGATTGTTTTTTCAAAAAATTGTAATGAATGTAAATCAAAAAGGAAACTATTTTAGTTTTTAAAGCATTTTCTTCATTTAAGAAATAAAGAAAATTATTAATTTGAAACAAAAATAGAACAAGCAGCAAAACTAAGCATGTAAGTCATAATAAAAAAAAGTTAATATTTAACTAAAAAAGGATAACATAAAAATATATATATCATAAAAGTGTTACATTTTTAGGATATTAAATTTTATAGCTAAAAGTACAAAAAAAAAAATCTTTAATTCAAAAAGATACGAGAAAACATTTTGCATAAAAAAAAAAAATAATAATAATAAATATTATTTTTACAACACTGTAACCAAGTACTTGACATTTAAGAAGTAAATGTTGAGTAATTTTAAATAAAACAAAAATTATAATTACCTTTCTTAGAAGAAGTTCTGGTAGAACTTTCTGATGAATTCAAAGTTTCTAAATGATTCAATTTTATTATAAACTTTTTAAAATAACAAATGTAAAAAACAATGTATAGTCTAGTTAGCAAATCTTTTATTACTAGCAATAGCAAAGTATTAACTGACAATGAAAATTTAATCTAAATAACATTTAAATGACATTAACAAACAGAATTTTAATTAAATAACATTAAATGACATTTTATTAACAAACTGAATTGAATTAAAATGCAAAAAAAAATACTTTCTTAACAATATTTTATGTGGAAATGCTACAAAAGATGTAAAAGTTTTTATGGTTTGACAAAGTTTATTTCTTTTTAACCTTTTGTTAAAAATAATTATTATTACTTAAATAAGTGGTTTTAAACAATGAAGGATTGAAACCTATGAAAAAGTACTGAGAAAATAAGAAATATGAAACTTAAAGTTCTTAGTAAAAACAAGACAAATTCCTAAAGATAGTTTTTTTTTTTAACTTTTTAGTCAACAATAATTATTATTACTTAAATAAGTTATGGTTTTGAACATGTTGTTCAAAACCATAACTTAATTAAGTAATAATTGAAACTAAAGAAAAAGGTAAGAATAATAAGTAACTAAAGAAAATAATAAGTAACTATATAGTAAAAACAGAGATAAATGCCTAAACATAGTTTTATTTAAATGCTATTTTCAAATCAAATATACAGATATAGTTTTATTTAATGCTATTTTTAAATCAAATTATTTTCAAATCAAATATATAAATATAGTTTTATTTAATGCTATATTTTTTTAAATCAAAATTACCGTCTTTGAGCAAAACCTCTTAAACAACGAGACAACTTGAAAAATATCATTTAAAACGTTTAGCATATAGAAGTGCCACAAACCTTGATTTACACTTCAAATTCAGAAACATTTTTTTATCAATTTTCATCTAACATATATGCAAGCAACCACTACATACGTTGGGATCATAAAATGACAAAAAAATTTCTAAGAGAAAAAAAAAAGGTTGACAGAAGACTTAAAAAACTGATTTTTCTAAAAGTCAGGAAAAAATTAAGGTAGGAGAAAATTCCAAAGAATTGATGAACAAGGAAAGAGTCTAGATAAATGAAAGAAAGAAAGTTTTTAAAACACGAAAAAATGTGTTTGAGTTTAAGCAGCATCTTTGTTTCTGAAGAAACATAAAAAAAGTAAAAAATGGTTGAATAGTGAGTAATGCAGGCTTGAGTTATGATTGGTGGAACAAATAACTGGAGTAAATAACTTGTTTGGCCATGATAGTATTTGTAGAAAAGAGATGCAACGCTACAACTATGGGTAAGTGGTTGATTGACAGGGTTTTCAAAATCAACAGTAACGGGTGAATTTTCATCTAGATATCTAGAAATTAAACAAACTCTTCAAAAAAATCCCATTAAACTTAATTAATAAAACCTTAAAACAACATACTCTTTTGTAAAATTTCTTGGCAATTATTTTATAAAAATGTAACTATGGTAACTATAAAACAAAATAACAATTAACATCGAATAACTGATATTCAAGGAAAAAAATTGACAATTTTTTTTTTTAAAACACTTGTAAATAGTGACAGTAAAAAGTTGAGAAACTGGAGTAATAAAATAGCAAGTAGAATAAAGAGATGCAACCTTAGCAGATGCTAATTTTGAAGTGGATTTGATATATACTTTTCAAGAAAGATCACCAGTATAGGTTAATCCTAGATAAAGAAGGCTAGGTGACTCATCAAGTACATTACTGTTCATAAATATAGAAAGATATATATTGTTGTGATAAGTATTAGCTGAAAAAAATTGAGTTTTGACTAAGTTAATGTTCAGCAGTCACTGAGTGCTCCATGCTGTAGCAGAAGCAAGATCTTTTTCAAGCTCAAATGCCCCCTGCAAGCAATCAGAGAGTGTTGAATTCTTATCAAGACAAAAATAAATGGTAACATCATCAGCAATCAACACCACCTTAGATGTGAGAATTTCTGGGAGATCATTAAATTAAAAAAAGTATAGGGCCAAAGATAGATCCTTGAGGAGCCCCTGAAGTTACAGGAAATGAAGAAGAGTGATTCAAGATGAGAGATTAAGTGTTTCAAAATTAAAGGAAAACAAGACTCTGATAAGCACTTGTTAAACAGTTTTGAAAGTATAAAAGAAAGCTTTGGAAAACACTTTTGTAATATATAAATGTAATTCATCTAAAACTGATTAATTTTAACTTTATACCTTTTTCTTGAGAAAATATTGTTTTTTTTTTTTAATTGAATTTGGTTCACATACCTAAGTCTGAGGGCATCCTTGATTTGACTACTGTTAAAAAAAAAATTTTTATATGGCAAATCTATCTCAACCCGTAACTTCAAAGTAAACAGGGGCTAAAGGAGGGGGGGGGGAAAGACTATTGCCTCTCCGCCCCCTGTGCCTATCCCAATGTTTAACATTATGTGGTAAATATTAAATCCATAATATTCAAATAATTTAATGGAAAGAATATTTGTATCAAAGTTTGTACTAAATATTGAGAATAAAATAACTCTATAATAATTTCATAAAAATTAATAACATTAAAAACAAGAAAATACTTAAAAAATTTAAAACCATTTCCCAAAAAAAAAAAAACTCTTTTGTGCTGTTCCTCTTATACAAACAATCTTGAGCATCTTTATATATAATAATGCACCACATCTTAAGCATCTTTCTTAAACTAAAGCTTGTTCATACTATATGTAAGGCACTCTCTCCAGGTTTTCTTACTTCTACCCCTACCATTTTTTCTTGAAGCTGCTAAGTCTCTACATATTACTTTATTCTTCTAAATTCAATGTTTTTCTAATTCTAAGATTCATAACAAACATTCATCTGATCATCATCTTCTCATTTAGAAAACAATACACCATATAAATGCTAAAGTTTATACAAATATGTAAGGATATTGCATGCCAGAAACTGAATAAATAGCAAACACATATGATTATAACCATAAAACTTTAACAGTGAAAATCTTCAACAGTGTCATTAACTCAAGTCTGATCTTATTAACCTTCTCTGTCTAAGATGGCTCATAATTTCAAAAATTGTCTATAAGAAAATCTACATTATTGCAATAAGGCCGCTATGAATTGCAAAGTTGTTACCCGTCCCCGTCTGCTTCATATTTTAAAAGAATACGATTTTGTCCATTATTTGTTTGTTGCATCATTAATCCATTTTTTTTCACGACCTACTTTTTTTTTTTTTTTATTTTAATTCACCTCCTCAAGGCCGAGAAGGCCACTACAGACGAGGAGGCTACTTATTTGTGGTTATAACCCTCTCTCAACTCTATAACTCCGAAACACAAACCTTGACGAGCAAGGCCGCTGCGCGGAGAAACGAGTTGAGCGCGGTACTACCAGGGACATGGTGGGGATCGAACAGGCCGCAAAATAACAGGCCGCAAAAAAATAATAATAACAACTAAAGGCGAATGTTTATATACCAAAAACAAAAATAAACAAAAATGGAGAATGTTGGTTGGTTTAACAGCGTTGTTAGGTTTTATTTTTGTTAAACATTATGTGCATTTTTAAACATTGTATATATCCTAAAAACTTAGCTACATATGTATGTATGTATATATATATATATATATATATACATATATATATATATATATATATATATATATATATATATATATATATATATATATATTGCTTGTTACTAAAAAGTGTTTGATAATCAATACTATCTTATATGCAATATATTTTCTATATTTAGAAAAAGTGAAATTTTATTTCAAGAGAAAACTAAATCATGCCCTTTAAATGTTGTGTAACTGGTTGCAAAGGCAATTATGACAAAAAACATAAGGCAAAACCTTTTCTGTTATCAGAGGAAGAAATTCATACAATATTAAGGAAAAATATTCCAGACAGTCCAAATACATTTATTTGCAAAAATTATTGGCCAGTTGATTATGAAACCTGTCAAGTTTATGGTAAAATTTCATCCTGTAAATCCACCAACTATTTTTATCTGTGTATTACTAAGTCAAATTTCTACACCTCTACCAAAAAAAGAACAACAACAAAATTACTACCATCTACACGTAACAAATGCTGATGAAATTTTATATCTGAATTTGTATAAAATTAATTGTTTTGATGACCTTTGCAAAAAAGTAAGCTAAGAGAATATTACTTTCACAGTAACATCCTTTACAGAGGATGATGGTTTAATAATAATAATAAAGTAAAAGTTATATTGATACCTCTGTCATTCCACAGTTTCTTTTAAAAATTAAAATGAATATGTAACTTGAAGGCTTTCATTGTGGATCTAGATGCACGATTAAACCACTATGCAGTAACCAAATACATAAAATTTTATCTTACTTACAAATTATTGAAGCTATTTGATATTTAAATTCATTCGAAATGGATAAAAAAAATTATCCTTTAACCAATTATTAGCATGCATGTATTAACATTTGTTGGTAATAAAAATATTCACCAGAAATTTTAAGTAGGGCTTTTGAGTATTTTGTAATTTCAAGATCTCTTTAAAATCGTATTAAAGATGATTATGAAATGTCAAGTATGTAACATTTAGTAAACTTATATCAAACGTTGCTAAATTAAAAGATGTTGATTTTCTTAACAAATATTTTATGCATTTTAATGATCCTTGTCAAAAAAATGTGATTATTATAATTGACGAAGTTTATGCAAAACCACAACTAACATATCAAGACGGTAATTTATTTGGAAAAGCTGTAAATAATCCAGAACATTTTGCAACCACTGTTATAAGTTTTACGATTTGCTCATTATTTGGAGGTAAAAAAATTTTATACAAAGCTCTGCTAGTGTATCATTTAAGTACTGATTTTCAATATGAGCAAGTTAGTGATATGATAAATTTATTTCTTCGTGTAATGGCAATACTGTTGCAATTTTGTGTGATAATAACAGAGTAAATCAAGCATTTTTTAAAAAATTCATTTTGATTTCTCCATGGAGGACACTGAAAACATTTTTTTGCTCTACGATTATATCCACCTAATCAAATCTCTTACAAAAATTTGGCTAACTGAAAAAATTTAAGAGTTAAAATATTCAGACTGTGGCCTTGAAAAAACTGCAAGTGGATTTACTTAAATATACTGTTTGAGTTTTAGTATACTGGAGAAAAACTCTATTGTTAAACTATCAAAGCTCAATCAAATGTCTATCTGTCCGAAACCCATAAAACGACAGAATGTTGCATTAAGTCTTCAGATTTTTTGCGCTGAAACATTAATTGCACTAAAGATTCATCCAGAAATGCAGGATTCATGTGAAACTTGTAGACTTTTTTAAAATCCTAAATGTTAAAAGTCAGTTTGAAGATGTCCAATTTAAAGATTTTGTGATCAGCAATTAGAATTTTTACTTGATTTAGCAATTAAGTTTAAAAAAATGGCACGAAATTTCACGTTCTCAATACATTACTTTTTCTTAGTACTAAGAAAAAGCAATGTATTGCAAACGTGTTTTCTGTGACCATTATTATATTACAGTATTAGTTATATAGACTATAATCATATTTTATAGAAAATATTACAATAACACTTTTATTTCTTTGTTATTTTTATGTTGAGAAGAGCAAGAAAGACGTTTCAAATATATTCTGTTTTTTTTTTTACAAGGTCTTAAAGATGTTTTATTTTGTAATAAAACATTGTTTAAAATTTGCACCACATAATCTTATTAAAAAATCATGCTAGAGGTCAATTGTAGTTTTAGTTGAAGAAATTATGAAATGACAATGTTTATAAAATAGTCAAGAAAATTCATAATTCAAAAGCATATAGTGTAAAGTCAAGGCCAAGGACCTAATTTTTAAACTTAAGGCAAGGCCAAGGACTAACAACTCTAAAAAAAGTATGAGAACAAAAAAAATAAAAAAATACGCAGTACTAGTCCGAGTGACAAGCCCCGTCACGCCTTTATGGTGTACGTTATAATAAAATAAAAACAACCTTATTTTGTACAAAGTCTTGCAAATTTTTGCAAAACGTATACGACCTAGATCAAACATCTATATAGGCTCGTAAGGTCTTATTATACCAGGTTTATCATACTTATAGTATTTTTTTTATAGGTAAAGTACGACTGTGGCAAAAAAACGTACATAATTACCTGAAAACGCTAAAGATTTATTTTTCTTACATGATGCATTTGTTAATGTACCGTTTTTCGAGTCTCTTTTATAAACTGATTAGCTTTAGGCTAAAGCTTATCGCTAAAAACCAATCTGCCGCAATCCTGACCTCTATAAGTATAAATAACATGAGTCAGTTATGTTCATTTTAAAAACCTTCTTGGCTATATTTTTTAGGTATCTACATCATAATAAATACATGTTTTAAAAAGTTTGATTAATAATTTTTAGTATTATCAGATATTTATCGAAAATTTATAATAAAATAAAAGATATCTTAATACAAAGTGCTTGTTTTGAGATTTAAAAAGTTTTAGTAATGAAAAAAAAAGAGCAGAATAATTTTGTCTAGCATATGTCTAATATCAGGCCCATTGTGCACTGGTCAGAAAAATAACCCTAGAACCTAACTGTTTACATATCTATAAAAAAAATGTAAAATAAATAAATAATGAATAATGGAATTATGCTGCCCGCCCGCATACTTTATTGTTTTTTTTCAGGACAGAAAACAACTTTGCAATTCAAAGTGGTCTAACGATTGAAAATATTAGTTCAAAAAAAATTTTTCAAATAATCATATTGCAATAGACTGAATTTTTAAAGGACTGGAACAAGTTGGAAAAATGACTATTGTGTTAGAGATTGAGAAAGGCAAAAGCCACAAGCCTTAACACCTGCACCTGTCACATTCGAGTCACTGACACTAGAGCCAAGCCATTCAGTGTGATGAGTATTGAAGTCAAGAAACAAAAATTAAATTGGCTGAAGGAAAAAGATATGATAACAATAACATCCAAAAGAGTGCAGTCCTTCTCGAAGGCCTCCACTATACTATTGTGTTGATAAAAAGTCTTCACTTTTTGATTGCTTAGAATAGGCAGCTGATCTTCAATCAGATTTTTTTTCAGTAACAGCTTAGGGCATGCAGTAGCTTGTAAATTTTGATTCCAAAAAAACTCATTTATTTACTTCGAAGAACTTTTACAAAATTGCTGACATTCCTATTTTGACAAATAACAATTCTCTCACTCTCAGACAAAGTCTAAAAGTACATTTTAAATGTAGTCGAACCTGCTTCATCTACTGACCTTGACCTACTCTCACAACGTCACAAGATATAT